GGAAAGGGGAAAGATTAGTGACTTCATTGCAACCATGTGAGCGAGTTGAAGACTTATATTGTATTTGTCGAAATCCATGTTTATGTAATCTTCTTTGAACTTGTAGTACATTATGTATGTTGTAAGTCTTGGATGGAAGACTATTATGTAATCGTTTGTTTATTGCCTTATGATATTAGTGATCTTATATTGAGCATGAGGAATGGTAAAAAATGTAATGCTAAAATGTCAATTCCAATAAAGAGCATAACGACATATAAGATCGACATACAAAATGTCTATCGTCAAAGTTCTTTACAATCCACTTCAAAAGTTTAACAAAAATACGATAATTGGTTGTTCCATCAAAAAAATTTCAACCATAACGTCGCATTACATTCCACAACAAAATTTTTTACGGATTCTACGATCTATGCCTCATCTTCCACTATCCATGTCAGTTTGTCTATCAACCATGGGGGTCGGAATAAAACGCATGGCCTCTTCATCATTTGGATTTTGGGTCGATGCCAATCCCTGACTTCTCGATGACACCATTTTACCCTATATGCATAGCAGAATGTAAATGGTGCTTAGAAAAAAATTCGATACGGAGAAAGTTACAAAAAAAAATAAAAAAAAATAAAAATTTCTAGCATATTTACTCACATGTTCGTTAACTGATGCATTGGTATTTGACTCCAGTGGTTCTAACTCAAAATTCAACCATTCCTGTGCGCAGGTAAACAAGTTAGCGTGTGAAGAAGAGATTTTTCTTAAATTGCCAAAGAGGAAAATATACCCGATCTGGGGAACTATTGCTGAAGTGATATCTTTTATTGTGCCCCTGCAATCTACATATTGAGCACGTCATGCGCACTTGCCCTTTCTTCTTCATGTATGACATTCCCTGACTTTGCACTACCATTTCTTCAGCATGTTTCCTTCTCTTTTTCTGCTTCTTTCCCCGTTGCGGCATATCCATTTAGGCTGGACAATAGTAGGGGCATCCACCTTGATAAGTGTGCAAACACACACTTATTCGGCACTTTTCT